TTTGGCTGCTTGCTCGCACACCTCAGCCCCCTCCCCCAGGCCTTAGGGAGATGGGGGGCTCCTGCCTGCCCAGCCCCCCCATGCCCCAGCTCTCAGGAGCTGCCTGGGACGGCCTCCCTCTGGTGCCGTGTCCCCAGCAGGAATAACGCCCACCGAGGCAGAGCTCCGCAGACGAGCGCCCTGAAAACGGGGCCTGGCTGCCATGAGAAAGCCCAGATGTAGCGGGCCGCTTCTTCCCTGAGAAGAAAGGCAGGCGGCCTCCCCCCCCCCCAATTACCCACTAAGCTCTCAGCGCCCGCCGAGCCCTGGGCACATCTGCTGTCCCTTTTGTAGCCCACAAAGCCGGGGCTGACAGCAGCTGATTAGCATAGCCCGGCAGACATTTGCATGTAATTGCCCCCAGCCTTCCTTGCAGAAAAGCCAGGCTCTGGCTTTTGTCTTGTCCTTCTGTTCTTGGGGTTGCCCTTCTGTGCACCCCACAGCTCCCAACCCCAGCCCAGCCCCTGAGGGCCTCTGAGCTACTTGTCTGATTTGGGAGCTTCTCCAACCTGGGTCACCCCAGCACCGGGGTTTTCCTGCAGCTGGTCAGAGATTCTGCAGTAGCCTGGGCCTGGCCCGAGACAATGTTAGCAACATGTTAACCCCTGTGGTGCCCACCCATTTTAAGAAATAAAATGTGGTAGGCACTGAAGGGCTCTTGCCTGGAATCCTGGTTGCCTAGGAGGCACAGATTGGGAGGATTGGGTTTTGAGGTCGTTGTGGAGGCTCATTTCAGCCAATACCTAGATCTGTCGGTTTGTGTCTGTCCTTGGAGCTACAGCAGAATCGTAAAAAAGAAAGTGCTGTCCACCCGGCCTGTGCATACATGCAGACCTTATCCCACAAAGAATTACAGCGAAAGGGCGGGAGCGTGGTTCAAGTAGTAGAGCACCTGCCTCAGTAAACACAAGTCCCTAAATACCACCAAAACAACAACCCTTGGCAGGGCGGGGGTGGGGGTAGGGGGGTGGCCCTTGATATCAGACTTCCCTGCCAGGGTAACCTTATCCTGGGGTAACTCTACACGCACACTGGGGTCACCCTGAAAGCCTAAGCTGTTATCTGTGCAACTTCAAATGAAGAGCAAGTGGGTAGGGAATGGATCTCGGTGCTGGACTGTTTTCCTAGCAGGGTTGCATGTATGTGTGTGTGCACACATAATGCACACACACACATACGCATGCGCAAAGATGCCAACACGTGTGAGAGACATGGCATTGTCAGCCACGTGGCTTCGTGGTCGCTCTCCAGCTGGGAAGCCAGACCCTTGCGGGGCTTCTGTCAGGCTCGGTCTGGGAGTGGTCTCGGGGCGGGGGGTATGGGGGGGGGACAGGGCACCTGGGGACTGGAGCCACCCTGGCCTCGCGTCCACCATTCTTTCTGAAGCTCAATCTTGGGTTTTGGGTTATTTGGCTTTTGGTTTTTGGGGTTTTTTTTGCCATGACATCGCCCTGCCACAGGCGAAGCAATGGCTCGTGTTGCTGTTCTAAACTGCGTGCCAAAAGAGTATTCAAGCCGAGCTGATCCGATCCGCGCGGGCGGACTGACCCCAGTGCCAGACCTGGTCGGGCACCTGGCCTTTGGCCTCGCAGGCCGAGGAGGCCGAGGAGAAGCTCGGCTGCTGACAGCATGCAGCCTGGAATGCGGACGAAGCCCCCCCCATATCACACCTCCGGGGAGGGGGACAACAGCTCTGCTTACTTCCAGAGGGGCCCCCTGTGCACCCCTGGGACCTTCCCCTAGGGCTGCGGGGCCCCTCCCCTCCATCTCCCCTCCATCTCCCCTTTGCTCTTTCTTTTGTTTCCTTTTTGTCAGTCGTGGGGCCTGAACTCTGGGCCTGGGCGCTGTCCCTCAGCTCTACAGCTCAAGGTTATTGCGCTACCACTTGAGCCACAGCGCCACTTCCGGCTTTTTCTCTTATGTGGCGCTGAGGAATCGAACCCAGGGCCTCAGGCATGCAAGGCAAGCGCTCTACCACTGAGCCACCTTCCCAGCCCCACTCTGTTCGTCCTGGGGCTGCCTTGGGATGTGAGGTGTTAGGGTCACGTCACACAGGCACGAGCCATCCACACCATTGGGCTAGCCCTGTCAGGGGACCTGGGGTTGCTGGCCCCGGAGAGCAGCGCCCACCTTTGATGTGCCTGTGGGGAGAGGCGTGGGGCTCGCCCTCCATGGGCCTGGCAAGCCTTGGGCTGCAGCGCGTGGTGGAGGCCGGGCTTCCGGGGTGGACTTGTCTTCCAACACACTTCCTGCCAGCGTGGAATTCTCTTTGTGTGTCCTTCATAGCTGGGGCTCCTGAGGTGTGTGTGGGGGGTGGGGGGACACTGCTGCTGGTGGAGACCTGAACCCATGGGTGGCTCTTGACTTAACCAAGTTCCAGGATGCTGGGGCATGGGGGGATTGCTGCTGGACAATTGGGGACACCGGAGGCCCAACCTCTTCACCCACGGGCCTGTCTTGGGTACCCCAAGGGGAAGCTGGGCCCATTGGGCTGCAGCGGTGGCTTTGGGAGCACACCCTGGATTTCCCAAGCCTGCAGCGGTAGGGTGGGGGCACCCGCTCCCCCCCCTTTTCACCTTGCTCTCGTCTGATCATGGAGAAGGGGAGCCGGTGACTTAATACAAGATGTGATATTTGGGGTCAGGGTTCTCCATTCCCCACTGTCTCTGCCTCCCCCCCCCCCGGCTGGGGAGATGACCATTATTAATTATTCCTCCATTTGGTAGCAGGGAGAGTGGGGTTCAGTTCTGTCCAGCCCCCAGTTCTTCCAATCCTGCTCAAGGATGGAAAGTTCTAGGGAGTGTGTGTGTGTGTGGTGTGTGGTGTGTGTGTGTGTGTGTGTGTGGTGTGTATGTGTACATGAGAGTGTGTGTGTGAGCGTGTGTGAGTGTGTGTGGTGTGTGTG